GCCTGGTTAGGATTGTTAGGGTCCGAAATCATGGAGATTTTGCATTAGGGTTTTGGTCGGAAACTTTCGATTTGATATTTGAGCTGTTCCAGGTAGATTCGAGAGACAGGGCTATGGGGGTTGGGTAGAGGGGGCCCAGGCGGTCACATGGTGTTAATTTGGTGGTGATTGGGTTACTTTGGGTTTTGGTCGAAGAATCTTTGATCGAGGATTCGACGAGCTAGGGCTGGATTTGGAGGAAACGGGTGGTGGATTCATGACGAGGGAGAAGAGGAGGTCTCGTGGTGTTATTTTGGGGTANGATCTGATAACCTCGACGGTCTGGATCAACTGGGAACGAAACGACGTCGTTTCGAGGGCAAAAGGGGCGGACCGGGTAGAGGGATGGGTTTGGGCCGGTTTCTGGGGTGTGTTTGGTCTGATTTTTTCTTTGGACTGGGTGAATTTAGTTGAAATGGCCCAATTGTGAGCAGCCCTCTTTATTTATTCCCCCTTTTTTTGTTCTTTTTATTTCTTTTACTCATTTTTCATTTTGTATTTTTGTTTTATTTTTCCCTAATTTTATGAGGATGCACAATTAAAAATAAAAATCCTAATAGATGTCAAAGCTAAATTAATTAAATTCTAAAATTTATTTAAAACCTATTTCACGGCAAATTCACAATTAAAACGATTAAAATGCAAAGTGGACTATTTTTGTGATTTTTATATTTTGTTCCAAAACAAATTAACCCCTACTTAATCCTAAAATATGAACTTATATCCTAAATGCATATTTTGTATTTTCATATGAATTAACATGCACAAATAAAATGCAAACAACTATCAGAAAGTGACACCAAAATTCACAAAAATTGTAAAAATAAAGAAATTGTTTTGTTTGAATTTTTGGGAATAATTAGCTTAGGGCAAAAATCACGTGCTCACAATTGTTATTTCCTTATTGTTCCCTTGTCGGGACTCTTTTGTGATTGGTGTTGAATTGTGTATTGGGATCGGGTTGCACACCGCAACAGTATTATATTTGGATCGGGTTGCACGCCGCAAAAATATTATATTTGGATAGGGTTGCACGCCGCAACAATATTATATTTGGATTGGGTTGCACACCACAATAATGATATATGATATGGATCGGGTTGCACGCCGCAGCAATGTTTTTGTAATTTTGATCGGTTGTGTGCTGCAACAATAAAGGATAAAAGTGGATATTGATTTGTTACTGTTTCCTTATTCTTTCTGCTGCGAATTTTAAATTGTTCTTTATGCTTTTCTCCTGAGTTATTGTTGGTAAATGATATCCTCTACAGCATGTCCCCCTTCCCATCTTTAACTGCTAGTTTCCTTCATTATTACTTGCCACGTATATGTCCCCCTTCCCGTCACTACTTCACCGAGTTTAGGCTAGGCACTTACCAGCACATGGGGTCAGTTGTGCTGATACTACACTCTACACTGTGTGTAGATTCCGAAGCAGCAGCATTCGAACCTTAGCTTGGGTGGCTGCCTTTAGTCCAGTCGGAGATTCTGAGGTAGTCCTGCAGGTGTCCGCATGCCTTGGCGTCTTCTCCTATCCTATTAGTCTATTTCTTTTATATATTTCAGAGACAGTATTGTAATAAATCTTCAGTCTTTTTATTTATAGTATCCCTAGACAGTTTGTGGAATTGTAACACCAGTCTTTGGTAGTTATTGTATGGATTGGGATTGGCATCTTTCTTAAATTATACATTTCAGTCTTCCGCTTATTAGATTTTCGCTATTTATCAATTGTTGATTATTAATTGTAAAAGGATTAAAATGGGAAAAAGGTAAATAATTCAAATGGTTGGCTTGCCTAGCTTTCACTAGTAGGCGCCATCACGACTCCCGAAGGTGGAAAATCCGGATCGTGACACAGGGTCTACCATGGATAAATAGTTGAGAAATTTTCATAAAGCACTATCTTTTAATGGTAATTAGCTATCTATAGATACCATTTGTTATATTACGGATTGTAGATACGTTTTCTGTTGTTATAAGATGTATTTAAGCTATTGTATTCATGAATACAATAGCAAAAATATGCGTGAATCAGGAAAGTCCAGCTAATCAGTTATTGTATTCCAGTGTATTCGACTGTATTCATGGCGTGAAACATAGGATTACAGCTGGACAGATTATTGTATTCGACTGTATTCACGGTGTGAAACAGGGGATTACACTGTTTTTAAATGGAAAGTGAATCAATTAACATAATAACTCCTAATATAACTCAACAAACTCAATTATAACACACAAAATTTGTATTTCCAGTTATAAAAAAGATTCTCAACCGAAAAACACCCTAAAAATATAGCAATCTTCAAAGAAATTATATAATACATTTGAATACATAAATTATATTAATTAAAAAACATATGAATACATTCATGGAATACAACGAAACAATGAATACAATGAAATGCATGGAATACAACGAGATACATTGAAATACAATGAAAAAAGACAATGAATACAATGAATACAATGAAATACATGGAAATACAGTGAGATACATTGAAATATATTAACAGAAAATTCAAGTTGCTCAGCCCCAAACTCCGTCGTCTTTGTTCAAGAACAAACCCTAATTTTCGGCGAATCTGCCATCGAGCAATGGTGGCAGAATAAGGACTCTGTTAAAGCTTGAATCTTATATTGAAGATGACGGAAGTTGAGAACCTCGAGTTTATCCAATATTAGAACTCTTCTTTCTCCAGAAGATGAACCTCGAGAAGATGACGTCGTCGAGCAATGGTGGCAGAATAAGGACTCTTCTTTCTCCTATAGTTTTACTAATTTAAGACTTGCAGCAGTTAATTAAAATGACGACTAATTCTGAAGAAACCAAATTGAGCATAAAGCTTTTGATTGACACCAAGGCTCCTAGTTCTGTCCAAATTGTCGAAACCATATGTCAACATATTTGACGTGGTAACATACATGCATGCTCCGATGGAATTGGAGGAATTGGGATCGGAGAGAACGTATGTGATGTGGGTGAGAGGAATTTTGAGATTGAGCATCGTGTTTTCAGGGAATGGGAGAAGAGAATGGCATGTATCAAAATAGAGAGAGAAAGAAAATAATGTAACTATTCAGTGTATTTAGTGGATTAGGATTAAGAGGTAACAAAATTAAATATTTTGCTATAAACATTAAAAGATTTCTATAGAATATAATTTTTTTGAATGGTATTTATTAAAAATAAATAAGGTGTTAACATTTGCTATAGGAGGTAAACTTTTGTAAATAGTTCTCACTGGTTTGGTTTTTAAGTTTAAATCATGCGATTATGTTGACTACCAGTTGTTTTGTTCAACCACAAAAACCTAATTCATCCATTTGAAGTGGTAAAAGATACACTCCAAGATTTCTCTTTCTGATGCACGTTTTAACCTTGCGTTGCCCTATTTGCACCAAGTTATAAAAAGGAGACATAGCATAATTTTCTAAGAGATAATATACACACACAATAACAACAATAAATCCAGTATTATCTTATATTGTGGGGTCTGGAGAGGGTAGTGTGTACGCAGACGGCAGACCCTTTACCCCTACTTTGTGAGGATACAGAGGCTCGACTCAGGAAAGCATCATCATCAACAACAACAACACAGTGTAATCCCACAGGTGGGAAAGCATAAGCATAAGCATCACATTAATGAAAATATAGACAAGAAGGGACAGTGCCAAAAAGCCATATAAAAGCAGAATAAAAACAACAAGACAATAAGGTGATCAACAATGAAAGAAAACAGCGGTTAGTCATAAAAACCTACTACCAACAGAAAACGAGACTGCTTGCAATACTACTGTTATGAACACTCTGGACTACTTACTTTACTACCCTAATCCTCGACCTCTTATATATATATTATATATATATGTCATTAACCTGTAGAATGAAATTAAAGAGAAGAATAAGAACTCACCAAAAGGTAACCCGTGAGCGATGTGAGGAAAAAGAACGACCGGTAGAAAGATGAAAACCAAAGAAATTAAAATGGCTTTCAGAGTAGTTTGGAATTAGAAAGAAGAACCGTAGATGACAAATGGACAATCGCATGTAGTACCTGGTCTTTATTTGAACACGTGGTCTTGCTTTTAACATGAAATTACATATATACCCTTCGTCGCCCTAAGGAACCTTCACTTATTATATATACTAGTGACGGGCTGGCCCGTGCTTCAAGAAAATAAGTAATAAAATTTTGATTAATAATGAATAATATGCATTACGACTCTTGTTTGCCTCATAGAAAACAGCTGAAAACAAGTGAAGCCAAAAGGTACTTATGATGGTTAATTTGGTTTACTGATGTTAACTCCAAATCCTTTCAGATCATGCAAATATTCTTCTGAAGATAAGGATTTATGTCTGCTATATCAATATTTCATTGATATTTATTATTTTATCTACAACATCCATTTACCTCTCCAACTATATGAATTCACCACATGCGTATCTACTTAACACAATGGAATTTCCCTTGGACATTTGTGTTTTTGAACCTAGTAATGCATCATAACTTGGATGAATCGCAGAGCGAAGAAAATAAATTCAAACCAAAAGATCATATTTACTGTCAAGTCTTTCAACAATCATTATTTACATCAGATACAAGACCAATATACTTTACCGGCTAACAAAAATATAAATATACATGCCAGTCTGGCAAGTGGCAAAATTATTTGGTATTTACAAAAAGTAGCAGATTGTCATTTGCGGTACCTGTCATACACAAACTCGGGGCCTTCAAAGCAGGTATGTACATGACATTGGAAGACATATGTCCAGACATATGCTACAGAGTTATAACACCCTGCCAGCAAAGAAAATGAAAGATTGATGACTATCCTTTTTCTCCGTCAAGAAAAATAAGTTCATCAATCAACTGCACGGATGTATTAAAATCCCGAGTTAGCGGCATTTCCTCGTTGAACTATACAAGTAGTTCATATTTTTTTTTTTGAGAATGGTAACAAATTTTATTCATCAGCACAAGAATATGCTGGCAACAGTATTTACAAGGTACTATCCTTGTGAACTTTACAAGGCTTCCAAAAATTGTAGAATAGATTCTGCATCTCCTACAGAAAACTGTTTACACCAAAAGTGAAAATTTAAAATACAATTCATTTTAACTACTTGTATGGAGCTACTCCTGTCTTCAAAACATCTGTTATTTCTTTCCTTCCATATGGTCCACCAGATGCAAGCTGGGATAATCCTCCACCATTTTTTCTGACTGACCATTTTACCAGCATAGTTCCAAGCTTTCAGTAGATCACATGTGTTTCCCGGCATTATCCATTTCAAATTTACCAGGGCCAAAAATAGATTCCATAGTTGGAAAGTGAAAGCACAATGGAGAAAGAGATGGCTATTGTTACAAGTAGTTCATATGGTAAAACATGTTACATAATCCTCGTCAGTTACTCTATAAAAATACAAGAGTAATAACAAAGTAAAACAGAAAGTTCAAAACCTCATTGAAGCATCTAAATATTTTAGAATACCTGTGCAGATGAAGTAGTACTGCAATATAAACAACTCTTTCTTAGGCATACAAAATGCAACAGTTATGCAATATAGCTTAAGGGCTTCGAGAAGTCCTTTTCTAACGTAAACAATGGAATATTACTGACAGTTGATGAAAGATGGTGCACTTGAATTGTATTCAATATTGATTTGTCAATATCAGTAACACAGTATAGTTTGTTACTCAGTAGGCAAATTTGACGGGTGCTCAATAACAGAGACAATTAGAAGAGAAGCTGAAGCATCACTCTCTGTAATAGAATCTAAAGACTGTCCTTCCATTCAAATCTTAACCCATTTTATTTCTTTTATTCTCTGAGAAAAAATCTGGGGGGAGAATCCGGGGAGGGGGTGGTATGCTCAAATGTTGTAGTAGAGGAATTGCATAAACCTGGTCTCTCTGTCTTTTCTTTTTTGTGTTGCTGGGCAAGGGGGTTCTTTTAAAGGGAAGAGGATGAATGTGAGCGGATAAGAATTTATCAGGGAATATGGAATGGAATACAATATGTGATATTTTTTTTAATTTAAATTTTTATTGAGTTGCTTGTTTTGTAACTGGTAGTCCAAAGTACTGCAACTGTTTCTTTTACAGAAAAGAGGATGAATATGAGCATCCATAGATATAGTCTGATTAGATTTAAACAATGACAAATAATAGCATAAAGAAATATTTTGGTTGACTGGGGACGAAAAATTCACTCTCGCTATTGGAAAATTTGGTGAATGAATTGTTTTCTTATTTACTAATTCCTACCATGGTGTAATTTATTAATGATCTTACTAAATAGTCTCTGGTTGTGCTCTTTTATTCCCCCATTATTATGGTACAAAAGTACTAATTTGAATTTACAATAGTGGTATCTATTCAACAAAATTTTATGACTGTTAATTGAAAAGCCTCCACATTAGAATTGTATGTTCTTTCTGTTGTTACAAACAAACATTATTTTGGATATTGGAGTAGTTTGAAGCCTGAATTAGTTTTCTCATAAGTCATATATGATCAAGTTGGATACTAACAAAAAAAAAAGAAACTTGAGCTGAAGTAACTCATGGTTCCATAGCACGAAAAAGAATATGTCTAGAAATAAAATAATATTCCCAATATAGAAGCTAAGATGGTTTGGGCTGGTAAGATGTTTTAGAATGGAAAAAAGTCTGTCCATGCCACAAAAGAAATATGATTAGCTTTGAACTATACAATCATTTTGTATGTAAACATTGCCAAGGAGAATCATTCCAATAGCACACCGTGCTTGATGAACATAGTGACTTCTTGTGTGGAATAGGTTTTTATACATGAAAAGTCAGCCAAACGAAACCCGGTTCTTCTGCTATCTCAAAACAGAATACAACCAATGTTAATGCAATATCTCTTCTGCTGTCATGTGAAATTCAATAAAGTAGGTATGTTACTCAGTTAGGATAAACATTTTATATTTTGAAGTTGTAGTTCAAGAATAGACCAATCAGGAAAAAAGTAGTAGCTCAACAACGTAGGATACATTATACAGGTTGCATAAAATATAGGTAATATAAAAGCTTCCAGTAATAAGATGCGTGTAGTTCATAATCTAGAAACTTGACCGGTAATTTAGAAGAAAAAAAATAGGAGAAAGAGTACATCTTACAGCTTGTTTGGATGGTTGTTACCTATTTTATCGTATCGTATTGTTACTTTAAATCCAATGTTTGTTTTGATTGTTACTTAAATTTTATTGTATCGTATCGTAAAATCCGTCGTTACGTAACGATGAAATGCGCCACTTTATGTAACGACCGATTTGGTGTGGTCGTGTCGTTTCCTTAGGTTTTTCTCTCAAGCTCACCCTTCATTAGTATTAAATAATTTTATTTTATCATTGACCCTACCTTTTTATATACTGTATCATAATTTTTCTTTATAATATTGCAAGTTTATTCATCATATTACTGGTGCGTGATACTATCAAATGACGATAAAATGACACAATCCATCCAAACATTGTATTCATCAAACGATACAGTACAATACAATACAATATGATACGATACGTAACAACCATCCAAACAAGTTGTTACCGAACTCTAGCATGTCATATAAATAATCTAGAATTCATGGACATCAGTTGTCAATTACTTTTATCTTATTGGTACTTCATCTGGAAATTATTTTATTTGGATAAAATAGTTTTTCTTAAGCAGTAAACAAATTCAAAAAAGAATTAAACATAAACATGTATTTTTTGATCAAGTTTGCACTAAATTTTATTTGTTTATTTCAGCTTATTTTGCCCATTTTAACTCATACATTTACTGATATATCAGAATAATTTTGGTTATATCTATAGAGCATATTGAATGTGCATAATTGGATAACAAAGTTTCTCTTATTGCCACTAATAATATATTTATCGAGATTATTTCACATATTTCTATAGCTGTCATAATAAGAAATTTCTCTCTAATTGGCCTGATAATGTTGCAGCACTTGATCCACTGTGATAAGTTATTACAACCTCAAAGCGGTCCCTGATATGCAATTTATTGTATGTTATTTGATTTCTGTAAATCCAAGGAGAGAAGTAACTTTTTTTATTTGAAGATATTAAGCGAACATATTTTGACGAGCTTGGACTCCAAGCCATGATACCTGGGTGTCAACATGAACATCGCGTGTTGATTGCAACTCGCACGTGAAAAGTTTTCTTTGAAAAGGTTTTGTACTGTTGCCCGCAGTGCGACCACAGTAATTCTTAGAACTCTTGGTCATAAGTTGACAATAATATGGTGTGAACACCAAGAGAGGCTACCAACGAACAACATTCAACATTGTAGATACACACACTAGCACAACTTAAGAACAAAAATGATGTACAGTAGTAACCAATGTGCAAATATACCAGCGGGAGGAGGCATACAGAATATATTAATAGGAGCCACATGTGCAAATATATGAAGATAAGAAGATGGTTACCTATATAGTGCTAAGTTTGTTGTGCATGTCTTTTGGTAGTACCGGATGTAAGATAAGTGTCAGCAGTTCTACAAGGCCAAAAATAAGTTTTAGTCATGGTCACCATAAAGTAGAACAGGTTGTAAATCAGAAATACTCAAAAGAATTATTCAAAGAAAATCATTGTTGTATGTTACTGAGTTATTTTGTTGCTCTATTTTGCTACACCAAGGCAGCAATACTTCTTACCTTATAGTGTCTGGATTGTTTTCTTTGTTGAAGCTCTCTTTTTACATATAAGTTCACTCTTTCTCTTTCGTTGCAGCTTTTTGTCCCCTCCTTCTCCTGATATATCCCCGTTATTTCAAAATGTATTTACAAGTCAAGAAAATAATAAAATCTCTAGATATTAATGGTGGACTACCATCGTAATGGACCCAAAATAAATGCATCTTCAAGAATGAAACACATGGAGTAAAAAGAATATAGATACTACCATCAATATTTCCTCTCTAATTTTATAAAATATAAATACTAAACCACTTAAAATATCATGCTGGCTCATTAGCGGACACAGAAGCGACCAACAATCATTGGTTATTCCAAATGCAAGTGCAGCAGTTAACGTAAAGAGCTTCACATTTTGGTTCATTCAACTAACTTGTCTTGAGTAACATTATGAGAAAACTTAGCCATGTGGTCTGATAAGGCATGCCCCTCTTTTTTGGCAGCAGCTAGCTTAGTAGAAACTCTATTCTCAAAACAGAACAATGCTTTTTTGGTACAGTGCACAAATCATATGTACGCAATTCGAATTCATTGGCATGTGAAACTCAATTACAAGGAATATTGGAGAGTGAAGATCACTATAGCAAACTTTAATTACTGGATAAATTATATACAATGGAACTTAGTTGTCCAACATCCAAACCTTGATAACCTCACTGTTGTTACTCAGCTTTAATTACAAGTCACTGACTCCTTACGAAGCAATCAGTGAGTCCTCAATCTGATTGTAAATCCCCTGACATTCAGTTGCTATTGTTTCATTTGTGAATTAGATAAATTAGCAGTTTCTCTGTCCGTCTAACAATATTCTCGCTATAGCTTTTTCACATATAGTATGAAAATTTGAAGTAATTCATGTTTATCTATTATCAAGTTATGTTAGGAGAAGTGTTGCTAAGCGCTATTTGAAGGCACCTAAAGTTGAAAGGTAATTTTGGAGTGAAAGTATCTAGCTTTAAAATGTGACAATCTGTGGGATATCTTAAAAAGGGATCTGCTTCACCTTTTTTTATTTAATATACACCTCTCATTACTTTGGGTTGTTACTACACTTATATTTTGGGTACCTACATATATCTAAAGTATCAATTGAGTGTTTGAAAATAATATGACTAACCTTATGGATGTTTTTCGGATGACACTGCTATGCTATAGGGCATGAAATTCTACAATGATCTACTTATGTAGTGAGAGCTGATTCATCAGCTAGAAGATTGCAGAAGAACTTTAAACTTAAAAATTTGTAAATATGGAATGAGGTGAACACATTGTAAAGAATGAATTCACACACAAATCTATCAACTCGCTTTGTATACATTTAAACTTTCCCTACATAAGAGCTTAAGCTCCCTCTTTATACAATTTGAATCTCCCTTCAAACATAGTCATTATCACATATTTTGGACTTTCTAGAGCAAAACTCAATTCTGATTCCTAATAATATCAGACTTTTGATGAACTAATTGTCACATAAAACACTAACATGGCATCTAGTACAAGAAACTAATCAATAAAGTAAATCAGAACTTTGAACAAACCATATCTATTTGCATTTACAATCTCCAAGCAAGATTAAAAAGTAAAAGTCAATAAAGATGATGTAAATTACATCATGGCAAGTAAATTTATTAGAACCTTTGGATAGTTAGAGCATTTGGAAGTTTTAGGATGTCTTGTGGCCTCCCATTTAGTGAGGAGTTTTATGATGAAAAGATTTATGTCATCTGAAGGTACCCGAGGGTACTACTGTTGTAGAAGTGCTTTACAGAAAACAAAGAACGATTAGAAGGAACAATGTCGGTACTCGCATCTGAAATAGTGCTTATATTGCAGACAATCAAGAACATACTAGTATTGCCCCCTCTGTTGAGATTCTATAAAAGGCTTGAATTTTCAATTTTTCCCCTTTATTCCTTTTCTCCTGTAGTGGAGTCTAAGCATATGTGGTTACCTTCATTGTGCCATATCTTGTAATTGTGCAATTATTTTCGATAAATTCAGTCTAGTCTAATTTCATACCATGTGTCATAACTTCCGCTAATAAGAAGCAAAACTGTTGTCCAGACTCATGTACAACTACACAAAAGAGCCATGGAAATGTTTGTATACATGTGGTATGTATTTATATTATTTATTTTTTTGTGAGTTCGAAGGAAGTCGATCTTTGTCTAATTTAAATGAATTTCTAGTGGTAGGGGTACAACCTCTTTCCTAAAGCAATGTAAGGAATAGAAAAGGTTCTTTTTCTGCTATTCTTTCTACTTCCAGCGATTCATATGGCGTTTTATCTTATAATCCTGTTAACTCCTGTTTAGATTAATAATGATGAAGGATGATTTACTCTTTTACAAAAGTTTCATTCACTGTAAATACGTAAACTTTACCTAGTATTGTCACTAATTTTACTTTCTTTTATCACTAAGACTACAAGGACCTAAAATGAGCCCAAAATTGGAATAGCTTTAGATCTATTGGTTTTTGGAAATCAAACCAAAACCCTTTGCTAAACCTTAACACAGACAAACAAATCTAAAGAAGGAGATGGAAGACGAAGGCTTGAGTACTGACCTATCAGAAAGCGGGCAGAGAGATGATTAGGAGAAAAGCGGCGACCAAAAAGCGAAACAGAGCATGTTACAAAATTTATTGGGTGGTCACAGCTAAGCAGTCCGGTAAACTGTCTAATACAACCCTGAGGTTAAAAATCAAATTAGTAGAAACAAGGAGAGCAAAAGTGAACTGGCTTCAAGGGTTAACAGTTAATGCCATAAGTACACTACACATGCCATCAAAGCGCAGGTGTTGCAGAGCTTCCACATAGTAACTAAAGAGACGATGAAGAAGCGCGTGCCAATAGAGACAGAGAGCGGGGAGAATTTAGGGGAAGGTTTTAACATCGGAGAAAGTAGTCGGCGCAAAAGTACCAAAGTACCCTAGTATTGATGCAACATTAATAGCCCAGCAGGACAATGGAAAGGACTTAACCGTAAATTTTAAAAAGCAGGACGACGAAGAGGCCTTAACTGTCGCTTCTAAATAGTATACAAGTAATAATAATATATATAACGTAACTTAAATTCTCGTCTTGGAGTTCAACATACAATTTAGATGATATTTATAATATGGTTGGGTCATTATACTCTTCCCCTTTAAGAAACTCGGTCCCCGAATTCACGTACCTAAATATTTGAAGTGGTCTGTAAAGGAGCGATAATGTGTATTTGACCATTTCATTAACATTAAATAATTCAATTGGAATATAAGGATCTCCCTTTAGATTCCGCGAAGAGTTAAGTCATGGAGTTGGTTTGAGAAGATGAAAATTTTGGATTAATGGATTTGGTAGTACTCTGCAGATGACTTTAGAGCATGATAAGCTGCATCATCAAAGAAGAAAATGGATAATACTTGAGCAAGCACAATTAACAAGACTTGTCCAAATTGTATGCACCAATCTTCAGGGTTGAAACAACTTTAGAGTTTGTTTGTTTGACAATGTCCGACTTTCCTAAAAAGAATCACAGTAAAAACTGAAAACTTCACAGGAACAAGAACGGTGCCAAGCATTATCAAAATAATTTAACTTTACTATCTATCTTGAGGCGGAGATTACAATGTATTGTACGATTTGCCCTTCTCTAAACAAAAATTCAAGGACAATAGTGATGGCAAAATCCACACAACACTCAAGGGCCCTGTCCATATTCTGCTACAGAAAAAAAAAAAAAAAAANAGTGGAGGCATCAAGAAGTTCCCGTGGAATAGTTAAAGCACCAGGTGGTCGTCCATTCTTTACCGCGGGGTGATCAGCAAGTGGTCTCCCTTGGAATTCGGCAACCGGAATCGAATCAATGAGGAAACTTGAATTACCAAACCTTTTAGGAAACAAAGCAAGATTCATCTCCTCATCATCAAAATCCCCCATTCTAAGTGCCCTGTTGTCATCAGAGACAGAAGACACAGTGGCATTATTCTTGCGCCGACCAAAACAACAGCTGCAGCAACCAGGGTGGTATTCCTTGGTTCGTGGTGGGTCAAAACCATAAAGAGCAGTCCTGCGGAAGAGGCAACCGGTCCCAACATACATTGGACCTTGAAGTCCATCAAGGGCACGCATATTGACATCAAAGAAAACAGTATTGTGATTTGCATAACGGTCGGAAGGATCAATTCCCTCAAAACGTTGAGGAAACTGAACATAACAGATTCGATCCCCACCTCGGTCCATCATAAAACACATTCCCTCCCTCATTGCCTGCGAGTTGTAGATGTAGTGATCACAATCAAGATTGAGAATAAAGGGGCCATTAGACATGATGGCTGAAGCTCGAACCAAGGCATTCATGGCTCCAGCCTTCTTGTTATGATCATAGCCAGGACGCTTCTCACGAGAGACATATACCAGCAAGGGAAGCCGAATATCAACTTCTGTTAAATCAATTAGACCATCATCAACAGAGGTTCCATGTAAGGGTTCATCACTTGGAGGTTTTAACATAACCTGTATTTTCCCAAAAAAAACTAACAATGTTAAACCAAATCTATTACTTCAAGAAACTAACATACAAGCCATTGTCAGCTGACCAAGTATATAAAATAGCAAAATAAACATACAGTTGGCAAAATGAGAAGCCGCTAAAGACAATTAATAATAATCAGGGAGAAGAAAGTAACTATAAGTTTCTATCCTCTTTTTCCTCATCCTTGGAGGGAGGAACAACGAGGATCGGATTCAGCTGGAGGGATCATATGCATCAGTAGTGCATCAAACAATTATTCCCTGATCAATAAATAACTATGGAAGCAACAAATTAATATGAAGAATCAATACCTGTATGATTCCTGCATGATCACCCCTAGAGTGCTCAGGAGCAGAAACCATCCAAGTGCCAGGCCAGTGGGTCCCATCTGCCATCCAAGTGGCCTTTGTTATCTTGATGGGTTCCAAAAGCTCATCCCCAGCTGCCTCTCGCTGAAGCTTCATGGCCTTGATTTCTTCTCGAGCATTATAGGCATCAGAACGCCGACGAATTGAATCAGGGAGGCTATTGATTCGAACCTTAAATTCATCATATTCACGCTTCACCCGTCTGCGGTCCTTCACAAAATCTTGACGTACTTTATTCTTGTAAGGGTCTTTCTTCAAGCTGAAGTAGGTTTCTGGGTTCCTTGGTTCAATATCATGTTTACGACAAAATGGAACCCAAATGTTGGCAAAACTTGCAGCTTCAGCCATTGCTTCAAATGTCAGAAGAGCACCTCCATCATCAGAAATATAGCACGAAAGCTTTTCAACAGGGTAATCAGCAGCAAGGATAGACAGTATCGTGTTTGCAGTGACTAGTGGTGGCTCTTTCTCAGGATCTGCAGTAGAGACAAATATGTCTATACCTGGAAGATCAGATTTTCCTGTGGGATTGGTCGGAGTTGGTGTTTCAAATTTTTCTTTCAAAACATTAAGATCGGTAGCACGGTTGACGGGGCATAACTTTGGAAGCTGGTCAAGTAGCCAAGAGATTGCAAACCAAATCTCACAGATTATGGACATATACCATAACCATATAGCATCATTGTTTGGATGGGTGACCCTCCATTGAAGAAATAATCCAAGAACAACAACGCGAATAAGAATCAAGAGCCTGTATACATGGAGCTGCGTTAAGACACCTCTCAAATAGGTAGAAGAAAATAACCAACAATAAGACAAACACTACCCACCATATAAAATTGGCACTATGTCAAGATAAAAACATATGCAACAAACACAGAACCTCATGCACAGGCGTATCCGATATAATAAAACAATACTTACAAATTAAGCACAATAGCACTTGGACGTGGGTAGTTTCGCCTAATTTTGTTCTTGAATTCAAAGAAGTAGAGAAGAAAGAATGCATTAGAAACTGTTAGGGACAAGAAATTACCGGTATGGGCTAAGAACTACAGCCGGTATTTTCAGTTTACGTGTAAGCGGCCTCCAAGGCTTGTTCAGAAGTTCAGAAGGCTCACCAACACGATCTTCTTTGTCATTTCCGAATCCCTCATCCTTTGGCCATATAGCATTTCCATATCCATACGTCCCTTTTGTCTCGAATAACCATTTATTATGATCAAAATCCCCTGCTTGACTCCTCATCAACCCTGAGTGGCTTCTTATTATCGCTGACTTATTACCTGATCGCATCAACGACAACCTCCGCTCCATTTTAGACATCCCAACATTTGAAGGTAAAGACTGAGGTCGTCCAGAAGGATCCACAGCATTCTCAGCCAAATCGGTGTTCTTGTAAGCCTCTTTACAACCAGGACACATGCCATCACCAGTTTTGACAGCATCAATGTAACAATCCCGGCAAATTTTAAAATCACACTCACAAGGAAGAATATCTTCACCCCTCTCATCACTCATGACTTTCCCATCACAACCAGGTATAGCACAAGAAGAACCTTTAGCACCAGCCATCTGAGGATGGTTAGTTTCTGACTCAATCACCTTATCCATCAAGTGAGCACGAGTCACACTATTATAACCTCCGGTAAACAAGGAATTTGATACATACTGCTCTTCAACCCTCTGTGAAATTGAAGGATCCATAGGTTGATTATCAGGGGTTGGAGGGATATGCACTGTGTAGTTTGCAAATTCAATGCCACTAATTTCGCTATCCAGAGATTCCCTTGATAAGTTCACATACCGACCCGATGAGGTCCTCCTTGCAAAGGTAACACCAGGAGGCTTACCCTGTTGGGAATCTGAGGCTTTGAAGGATCTTGAAGACATATTGCTAAAGGTAATGCTAAAAGACTACTCAATGACCACCAAACCCTGAAACTGCACAAGGCCAAATAAGTAACCAGAAAAAGATAGTTAACTCTAAGTTAAGAAATCAAGATTAAAAACAACAGTTCAAAGGATATACAAGCTCTGGATTTCAAAAGACTCAACTTCTTTATGCAACAGGAAAATGAAAATCTTTTTGAAGATTCAAAAGAAAAGCTGAAAAGGGGAAAAAATACTAAAGATCTTGTGCAGGTCAATGATGCAGAGAAAACCAAAGCATGACCAAAAACCTCCTCTTTCTCTTTTCCCAAAGCCAATTCTCTCTTTATTAACTAAAAAGCATTAACGTATCACCTTTTTAAGCAAAAAACACTTGATCATTTTGTTTGAAAAGCATCAAAACAGTTCAAAATAAAACAACAATCACATAACAAGAGATTACCTAAATCCTGATGAGATACAGCAACAACTCAAAACAATCAAGATTTTCCTACACCATCTCTAGGAAAACCCAAAAAGTAAGTTCAACTACACATCCAGATCCTTCTCTTCACTTAAAACTCATCCCTATATAAATCTGGACCATAATGATTTTGCACAAGTAGAGAGAGGTATATGACATCCACTAGCTTGCCCAATACTTATATAGCAATTACTAATATAAAGATTTGACAACATTAATTTATAAACACAACGAGAATCAGCCTACTGAAGGCGTGTAAGAAACATTCAAAACAAAATACCAATAAAATATACACACACACTACTTGCAAACATATACACATTACAGATTACACCTGTAACAAAGCTTTCAAATGGGTCCCGATCAAAATGTTATAAACAGGACTTAGTCTTCCATTGTCCAATTAAATTACTTACAAATCTTTATTACGTGATACAAAATACACATTACCCATTTTCCTCCCTCTTTCTTTCGTCACCCCCTTTTTAAAAGAACTTTAAAAAATGAATAGTTAGTATTTACCAACCTCAAAATTTTGAAAAAAAAAAAGAAAATATCAGCTACAAAAGATTCAAACTATATTGTTTTTTTTCAAAAAAATTAACTAAAAAAAGCTCATTCTCACACCTTCCAATGTTGCAGCTTACAGCAGCCGGCTAAGGCTTTTGGTCTGCATCACAAGAAGAAAAAAAAGGGACACAAAAGCCGTGATACTTAAATACACATAGAGACCAAATAAATGTGTATATTATTGAGGAGTTTAGTGAGAAAAGTAAGAGATCTGAATGAATAAGTTTCCATATATGGGTAAAAAGTTGAGATTTTTGTAAATTTTACCTTATCTTCTCTGCTATAAAGTTATTACTAGGCGAAGTAGGCAGAGAAGTGTATGTGCATTTGGTAATGGTAGCTTTGGACTGTTGCTGTTGAAGGTTTGATTTCTTAGTAAGGGCAGTGGGGAAGAAAAGAGTATATTTTGTGACAAAACACGGAATCTGTGGGGTTTTAAAAGTAATTTGAGGAATATAGGGGGTCGGTCCAAGCACGCTTGATACGCGGTGCAGGTGATTGTTTCCTGTGCGGAAGGGATATTTTCACAATCTTTACAACCGGACTTCGTTCTTTCTTTCTCGTTTGGCATCCGGGGTTATTTTGAGCTAGTATAAAATTGGATACCATTTTATTTTTCATTTGATTACATTATATTCCCTTCGTTCCAATTTACGTGAACCTATTTTTTTTGTCCGTTCCAAAAAATGATTCATTTCTAATTTGGAAACAATTTAGTTTAAACTTTCTGTATACGGTGGAATCGAAAGGTCCAATTTCTCGTCGTCGAGGCACCTCAGAAGACCATCTCGAAGTCTCGAGGCTACAAGGTCATGGTCGAGTTCTCCTCCCTCGAGGTTCGTCGACGCCCGATCTTGGAACAACGTTGACCGCGGCCACGGTAGAAATGGGGAGTTCCCAAGGCACGTAGCTAAGACTGACAGGGCCTAGTGGACTAGCCTAACCCTTAATCAGGATGTCTTCTAGATGTCCCATCTCCGCTTCTTTATCATTAATGTATTTTGTACTATGTTGGAATTTCTCTCCTATATAAAGGGGATCCTTGTCATTTTGTAAGGTTCTGTTGCTTCAGTTGCTCCATACGAAAATATACAAGAACATTCCATTTGCTTTCTAACATACTCTCTTGATATTATTGCTTTCGTTTATTATTTTCATTGTTGTTCATCATTTATTGCTTATCATTGGCTATAAAGTGTCTTCGTTGATTTTATTATAACCGTACAAAGGGCAGACTCATGCATAACATAATACCTGCTCAACGAGAGCAGCCTTCTCTCGGAGTGCTCTCTCCAAAGCAGCCCGGAGCTCGCCTGACTCTTTCTCCTTTCGGGAAGAGTAAGCCTCCGACTCTCGCAGTCTCAAGGTCAGCCTCTCAAGCTCCTTTTCATGGCACAAAAGCTCCTCATTAAGCCTGGAGAGGGTATGGTCATACATCTCCTTACACTAAAGCAAAACAGAAGAGTTAGGAGAATGAAGAATAATGTTTGAGGCTAAAGGAAATATACGTAAAATAGCTATCACCTGCTGCATGAACCTTTCCGCCGCCTTGACAGAGCCGGTAGCGTCAAGATCGACGTTCTCGCTAACATCATCTAGAATGTTTCCAAGCACGCCTCCCCCCTTGAGAGGACCCCCGGCTTTGGCGGTATTCGCATTTTGAGCATCCCTTAGCTCCCCTGACGAGAACTGAGGGCCCAAACTGAGACCATCTATGTCATCGATATCTCCGATGGGCAACTCCTGCTCCTGAAAAGCTCTGGGTCCCGACCCTTCAGGATCAGCGGCGACGGTCCCCCCAGGAGAAACTGCACCAAATCCGGTCGTGGGATCCGGGACCACATTGATACCCTCCTCGAGGGTCTTCGATTCACGGGAGGATCGAAAGCCACCTTACCCTTCCTTTGCTTGCCCTTGGAGGGCTCCGAAGTCTCCATCTCGCCACCAAGGGGCGGCCTCATCTGCATATTCTCATCAAGGCTTGCACGAGCGCAGTAACCGTAATTTATCAGCACAAAGGATACGGGGAGAAACATAAATCTAAGGCATAGGTGGTAAGGAAGCTTTACCATGATTCTTGGCCACCCATCGCTTCTTAGCCAGGTCGGACCAAGACCGAACAAGATATGGGAACGCGGTGTCCAACCGTTCGATCCATCCCGGCAAATCCGAGACCGCTTCGGGGTACAAGCGGTAGCTGCAGAAACCAAAAAGAGGTCATTTTTCTGGAGGAAAGGAAAGAAAATCACAAAACATGTCCGAGGGAAAAAATGCTTATGTGTGTGTTCCACTTCTCCGGGAAAGGCATCCTCCCGGCCGGAATAATGTTCGAGGTCCTCACCCGGATGAACCTACTCATCCACCCTCGATCCTTCTCCTCGTCGGTGCTCGAGAAAAATAATTTTTTGGATCGGTGGTGAAGCCTGATCAAACCTCGATAAAATCGAGGGTTGTACAACCTAATCAAATGGTTGAGGGTAAAGGTCTCGCCCGCAACCCCATCGGACAAATGGCAGAGCATCAAGACTATCCTCCAGAAAGAAAGATAGATTTGACCGAACGTCACTTGATATTTGTCACAAAAATCGAGGATAACCGAATCTATCTCCGGGGAGGGGATTTAGAGGAATCGATAGGACCTAAAGTGAACGGGTAAGTGTATACATGAAGGAAGCCAGCCTTGTTATCCGTTATATTCTCATCAGGGTTGGGAATCTCCACCTCCACTGCCTCACTCCATCGGCAATCTATCTTCACCGTCCCTACGTTAGTCACGACATTAATGTATCGGGACACGTGTTTGCATCGGCCCGGTGTGGATGAAGTGTTATCGATGGTAAAGTCCTTCGACATATCAAGCTTGGTGGGAGTACATTGTCCCAAGGTGGGTATCACTTTGGGTTTCCCTTTAGATGTTCGAGATGAAGAGGCAGCCTCGTCTTTCCGAGGAACCATCTTGAGGTTCTATCCATGATGATGGTGGAATTTCTCTAAGAAAGTAAGAAGAAAAGATGCAGGTAGGGATGGGTCTGGCTTTGCAAATCTGAAGTAGTTGGGAAAGTAAGAATTATCCAATAATTGGTGCCTTTATATGAGTCATGTGGGAAGCGGAAGGGACGAACTAGTAGCAGTTCGTGGGCTTCTCGATAGTCGCGTCTAACAGCGACCTTTGCGTGGTTTTTTGGGCATGGCATTTAATGCTCTGATAGGTTGACATCACAACGATGATGCCGTCATATTAAAAGCTCATAATCGTTTCTTATTGTTCCTCTCTAAGAAACGCGAGGACTATCTGTATACGGTGGAATCAGAGGGTCCAATTTCTCGTCGTCGAGGCACCTCAGAAGACCATCTCGAAGTCTCGAGGCTACAAGGTCATGATCGAGTTATCCTCCCTCGAGGTTCGTCGACGCTCGTTCTTGGGACAACGTTGACCGCGGTCACGGTAGAAATGGAGAGTTCCCAAGGCACGTAACTAAGACGGACAGGGCCTAGTGGACTACCCTAACCCTTAATCAGGATGTCTTCTAGCTGTCCCATCTCCGCTTCTTTATCATTAATGTATTTTATACTATGTTGGGATTTCTCTCCTATATAAAGTGGATCCATGTCATTTTGTAAGGTTCTGTTGCTTCAGTTGCTCCACACAAAAATATACAAGAACATTTCATTTGCTTTCTAACATACTCTCTTGATATTATTGTTTTCGTTTATCATCTTCATTGTTGTTCATCATTTATTGCTTATCATTGACCATAAAGAGCCTTCCTTGATTTTATTATAACCGTTAGCCATACTTTGACCACCACCAATAGCTCCCAGCCGAGCTCCGGAATCGACCTCGAGGCCCCCGAATCGACAAGCTCGAGGCCCCGATAATTAACCTATCGGTTTGATTATCACCTTATCTTTAACTCTCATTTCGTTTCTCAGTTTCACATAACATAGCATCAGCTGCTTAACAAACTAGCATAAAAATAGATCACGTATTTTTAGAGTTTCTTAATCAAATTTAATTGTTATTACCATTTTCACGATAAACACTTTCAATTCTACCCTTAATGAGAAGTTTTTATAATCATACAAATACTCTGGACCTCTTTTTGAATAAACAGTGGTTTTTAAATTTGTTCTTCTTTTTTTCAAAAAATATTTTATTACAGTATCAGTTTTTTAAGACCAAATATTCTGTGAACTTTTCCGAAAACCTAGCACGTCCAAACTTCAAACACTTGCTACAAAATTCTCCATCCTGTGATCAAAGATTGGCAAAAGAGATTGTTGTGGTGGTGCTCAGCTGTAGGTGATAATTCCCTGGTGCATCGTGATTCTCGTGGCCCACCGTAACGGTGTATAACAGTTGTTAACAGTTATTTCTTGCAATTGTTCTATTTTTTTATTTCTTCTTAATTGTGTATTTTTATATTTCAGGTAAAATATATAAAAAAGTACTCCTCTGTTCCAGTTTATGTGAACCTATTTTCTTTTTGGTCCGTTTCAAAAAGAATGAACCCTTTCTAAATTTGGTAACAATTTAGCTTAAAGTTACAACTCTACCTTAATGAGAAGCTTTTATAACCACACAAATACTCTGGGCCCCACTTAGACTTGTTTAGGACCACAAATTTTAAAAGTCTTCATTTTTTTCTTAAACTTCGTACTCAGTCAAACAGGTTTACATAAATTGGAACGGATGGAGTATATTTTTAGAGCACCATAATTTAGAGCTATATAAAAAATTATAGCCAAAATAATTAATTTTAAACTATATATTTTTATAACTTTTTTGACGTCTTGACTATTTATTTCAATTGTATAAATCTTTATTTTCAGGACAAATTTAAAAAAAGATTAACTAACACTTTATTATTTTTAGCCAAATAAAAAATTTAGCTTAAGTAATATAGTTATATCCAAGTTTTATTATAAATTGTATTCGAAAAAAATTATCTACAAAAGTAACATACTTAAAAAGGTAAAAATATATTTTATTTTTCAAAAAAATATCATATATATAGAAAAATTCACGTGTCAGATAAGTGCACCCACACAATTTGCCACATCAGTATTCAGGAGATAATAACTCTCAACAGACCTAGTTGAAGGATAATTAAGACCATACTAATAATCCCCGACAAATTTAAGGGTGATAAGCTATTTTGCCCGGACAACATTGAACTGTTGTCCCTTTCTCTTCGATTTTGTTGTTACCAACTTTATCCAACGTGTTTCGGATATTTACCACAACTACCCCTCGCGAATTTCGAATTTCAAATTTATACTTGGCCAAAAAGATAATACAACGCGTTTGGACGAATTAGCAAAGCCGGAGTATTATCCATTTAGCTTATGCCTATTGTCGTATTTGCATACTTAGGAAAATGTCCGGCGCTCCATTAGACTATACTGTATCTTTGCGCCAGTCAGCTTCCAGCTCACCATACTTCCCAAAAAAATGAGTGTCGTGACCATTCATCCAATGTGATAGTAACAACCAACTTCATCCAAAAGTTTTTATATTTCATTGCCTTTTTAGTCCAAATTTTATCCTTTTTCGGTCTTTCGGCTAAGATCCAAGAGTAGCGTCAGTTTTCTCTTCTGTCTCCGTTTATGTGAATTACTTTGGAATACGAGAAAATTATTTTTATATATTAAGTGAATTATCTGAATTTGAGTTTATAAGTCATAGGTTTTAGATTGTAGAAAATGCAAGTTATTAAGTTGTGCATAAATCTATATATCTATCTATAAAGGAGGGACAATAGAGAGTGATGTGACATATCTCTTTGCCCAAGAATCATATTTATCTTTTTCCGTAATTTTTTAAATTTCTCCTTTTTTCCCCATTTATGTGCTACTATATTTAAAAACCCAAAAGTCACTGCTAAAAGATGCTTCATCTAAAAAACTCAACGGTCACCATACGTTACTGAATTAAATTGGCACACATTCATGAACAAAAGATTAAAGACAGGAACTGATGTTCCATTCCTCTATTTTTTCATATTATTTGCATTTCTTACAATAACAACATTTCGTTTTTTCTCTTGTGACACTTGTGTTACAAACTAGAGGTGGCAAAAAGGTTAAAAAAAAACAGTTATTCATCCATATTATTCATCAAAAAATGGGTTGGATAATGAATCATCTAAAAATGGGTCGAATATGGATAAAGAACTATATTATCCACTTAGAAAATGATTAATCAAATGATAACTAATGTGTTTAACTTTAATATTTGTAAAGCCTCAAATTGAGGTTCCTCAAGTTTGGACCACTAGTAATTCTCTCATAAGTGAACATATTTAAGAAGCTATGGATAATATGGATATTCATATTATCCGCCGGATAAACCCATATTTATCCGTCACAAATACGGGTCGTGTCGGATAATTTATCCGTTTTCTTAAATTACCCGTTTTGACCCGATCATATCCGACCCGACCCGGCCGTTTGCCACCCCTATTACAAACCCAGAAGATGAAATCTTCCACTAGCAAATCTGTGAGAAAGCCCACTTGTAAGAATTTTAAGAATACCTAATATTATGTAAGATTAGGTTGCAACTGAATCTTAATTACAAAAAGCAGATTCAAATTATACACCAATGAAAAGAAGAAGCTAAAAGATCTGAAATAGGGCTGAAGCGAAAAACAATTCCACAATTTTGACTCTTCTCTTCTGATCTGGTAAGAACTCATATTTCTCAGTTTTACTTCCAATGAACGAAAAGCAATCTCCATATTGTAGCTACAGAAGCAACAAAAACATGGAGAAGTGAAGACAAGGCAAAGGCCGCAGTTATCAACTTCTTAATTGCTTACTAAACTCCGGGAATGAATACTCCTAGGCACATTCCAATATTATGTGGCTATTAGGTTGACCAGTACTAAAGTTAACAATTTGATCTTAGACACGTGACTTTCTTCATCGGCTCCGATGAGTTGATGGTGCACGGTCACTGTTAGGTTTTGAGTAGGAGGTGTCAGATGGAGGGGGTTGGTTGACGACTATGACTGAGTTTTAGGGTTGAGCACGAAGTTTTTGTCTCGAACACATGATTGATTTTTAATTAGTATTAAGACACGGGAAAATACAGTAACAGTGGCAGCAAGGTGGAAGAAAACTTGAGAGAAGATGGTGTAAGTTATCTTTACATACGGAACTTTTTTCCTTTTCCAGGTTAAACAAATTAAATAGGTAACTACTTTATCCAGCAGTTAAACAGGGAACTGATTTTTGTCAGTTTATTAGATAGGTAATTTCGGGGTTTAGTTTATTATCAGATTTTGGTAGAGGAGGAAAAAGGGAAACTGAAGCTTAAGTGGTGAAGATAAATTAGGGAGCGCGCTAAGATCCACTGCAGTAACAAAAGCTCCATTACTGTCTGGTTGTATATTTTGGGCAACGTTATTATCATAGTATTTCATGATTAAGAGAGTAAGTACTTTCTGTTGCAAATGCAAAGAAGAATAAGTAGCATTTTAAATTTTGGTTTTCCACTATCTTATTTAGGAAGCCAGCCCTCGAAATAGAGCCATAATCTGGAATTACTAACAGCATAACATACACAGTGGCGAAGCCAAGAACTTTTTTAAAGGTGTTCAAACTTAAAAGAAAGGGAAAAAATTTCCTAACAAAGGGTGTTCAATATATGCTATGTAACGACCAGACCGATCGTTTTACTTTCTAGAATCCCGTTCCCCTAAATAAGACTTTCCGTAGGTGCTTTTACTGTTTTATGACTTGCGGGGATGGTTAGCTCGGGACTTGGAAGAGTTCAGGTTGAAATCGAAACACTTGGTTCCTTAAGGTTGGCTAAAAAGGCTAAGTTTGACTTCAGTCAACATTTTTAGCAAACGACCTCGGAATCGGGATTCGACGGTTCCAATAGGTTCCTATAATTATTTCAGACTTGGGAGCATGTTCAGATAAGATTTTGGATGATCCGGGAGCGTTTCAGCGCCTAATAGTGAAAGTTGGTTCCTGGAATATTTTTGAAGTTCTTTAAATTTAGTTTGGAGTAGGTTTTGATGATATCAAGGTCCAAATGGGATTCCGGGACCAAGAATAGTTTTATATGATAATTTAGGACTTGCACGCAAAATTTGGTATCATTCCGAGTAGCCTAAGTATGATTCGGTGCGTTTGGAGCGATTTAGAAACTTGAAGTTCATATTTTGATTCAATTTAGTTTTGGGGTGCGATTTTTGGTTTTGTTGTTTTTTTATGCATTTTGAGAGTTCGAGCAGGTCCGTATTATGTTTATAGACTTCTTGATGCAGTTGGACGGGGTCCCGAGTGGCTCGGTTGTGTTTCGGACCACCCGGAGCAAAGTATGAAAAACCAAAAACTTCCAATTCTAGTTTCCTTCTACGCGAACGTGGAACACTACAAGAAATCTGCCTTTTAGCGGCGATCTCAGTCGTTACTAAATCATTAAATGTCGCCGCTAAATGTTTATAGCAGCGACATTGGACTTGCTGCACCTTAATCCATTACTAAACTTTATTGTGACGACTACAAAGGGTCGCCACAAAATGTCACCATTTAGTAGCAACAGTGTCGCCACAAAAAGTATGTCAAGTTGCCACAAATTATGTTCCACGAAACAGATTCAGGGGGCAAGTCGCCACTGAAGAGTGGCTTTTAGCAGCGACAGTTGTCGCCACAAAAAATAAATAACTGTAAGTGGCAGCCTTTAATCGCTACTAGAGAATTGCTTTTAGTAGCAGTTGAAGTCGCCACAAAAACAATTGGCTATCCCCAGCAATTCTCATATTGCAGCAATTGATGTCGCCACAAAAAATTCAATAATCAGTGGCGACTATGAGCTCGCTGCTGCAGAATGACATTTAGTGGCAATGATAAATGCTACAAAAACTATTAAACAATCAACGACAACTTCAATATTGCAGAATGAAATTTTGTCACCACTGAAACCTATCTAATTCAGCAATTGTAATGACCAAAATTATATAAACGCATCCAATAGTATTTTACAAACACCAAAAGAATATCTTAAGTCGAATATTAAATACTTCCATTACTAAAATGTGAATTACATATATAATGCATAATACTTCATTGTCATTGTATGCATATACATCCCAAAAGAGCAAAATACTAAGTGCCTTGAAGCCCCTCCTTGGTTGTCTCTATTGTTTAAGAACCTTGTCCCTGCTATTACACAAAAAAATACAAGATCACTTTAGCGCATGTACCGTAAGTGCACTGCATAAAAAATTTCAGCATTAAGATAAACTGTTCTAAAATAAAATTTCAGCATTAAGATAAAAAAAATTCAGCATTAAAAAAAAATTAGCATTAAGATAAATTGCACTGTAGTTAGTAGAAGCAAGCGTGTAGTATGCATTTGACTAAGCAGATTTCCTTGTCATAAAATTTTATTTCCTTCTTTGGCATGCACATATCAACTGGCAAATTTCAAGATACAGACGTAACATTCAACTAAAATCCACATGCATCTCGTAGGTGCGTATTCTAATCATATTGAATATGAATCATTATTTTTCATATCTATTTGCAGCGTACATCTCGATATGTTCATGATATAGCAGATGGATACTTTGTTGATTAATGCCGGAGAGTTAGTATAACAACTTAGGTTAAGGCAAACTTTTGAAGTGATTAATCATTGATTGCACCTATGAGATGCATGTGCATCTCTTCAGTTTTTAAAGTAAAGTAATTCAAAACTATATATATCTCAACTATCTTCATAAACATCATGTTCTAACAGATTCTGGATTCTGAAAATAGGCACTCCTCCTTCACTTCCAATTTAGATACGCAATATATAACCAAAGAAAAACGACTAGCTAGCTACTTATTAGTCTCTGAAATGAAGCAACTATATATACATCTGAAGTTTACTGATCTGCCCAGGATACAGTATAGAACTTACATGTCCAGCCACTCGCTAGACTTGACGCAAACATTTAACGTATAGGGCATGAGCTAACATCATTTTCATATGTTAAGCAAACACATATTTTGAATTTTCTAACACATATATAAGATCTTAGCCAATTTTGACCGAGAGAATTCTACCATTCTGCTCATATCCTACTAGTATGCTGTCTATTTACTGTAACCAATATGCTGGGAAATCATTACTCAGAATCATAGATAAACATCATGTTGAGGATAAGGTCAAGGTTCTTATTGTTTATTATTCTTCCTTTATCTTCAACTTATTCTCACTGACCAGACATACATGGGTTTATGGAAGAAAACATTCAAGACTCAGAAAAGGGCACAATCATACTACAAATTATACCATGCGTATGAAGTCTTCGCAACCACGCATTAATGTTTGGAGATGCTTAATTATAAATTACTCGGTGAAAAGTTACAAGATCATGGCACACTAGGAAAATTACATAGTATTGCTAACAAATAGATTTCAACATATTACATTACACCATATCAGATCCATTCCAAAATTGTATAAGTCATTCAGAGGCGGAGCCCCAGCAGGCAAACACAGAACTGTCCAAACAGGCAAACACAAAACTGTCCAAACACATAACTGTCCAAAATAGACCAGAATCACACCAGAATTTCAGAATCGCACTAGAACATGTACCAAACCAACAACTTATTTTCATAAAGATAACTAAAGAAGGAGAAGATGAAGAAAAGAATTGTCAAGAAGGATGGAAGAAGATTCAAGTCGCTAAGAAGAAGAAATATCAAAAAGGAAGAGTAAAAACATTAAGAGTAAATTACCTGTTGCATTCTGGTCATGAGAGCACCCAGTTGTTCTTGGATCTTCTTGGCTACTTCTAGACTGACCCTGTTCCCTACTTCCAGATTCACATGTTCAAGCTTCTCATTCAACTTTCTTTGTAACTCTTGCTCCATGTTCCTATTCAACTCCGTAGCCATTTGTTCACGTTCCGCTTGCAACTTTCGATCCATATCAGCTTGCATCTCTTGACGCATAGTTTCTATTGTAGAAGACACACTAGCCTCTATGTTTGTCGCTTGCGTGTGACTACTTTTTGGAGGCTTCTTTCCATACCCTTTACCACGAACATAGCCTGTCCTTTCATCAAGAACTGAGGATAAAATCTCAGCTCTAGTCATGGGATACTCAATCTCTTCAGATTGTTGCTGAGCCACAAGGTCCTGGAGCTGGCATTGCAATACGCATAGCTATTTACACCAAAACTAATAAAAAGGAGTAAAAGATAGTAAGGTATTAATTTAAGAATATTACGTGAATCTGCTGGGATTGTGGATCCACCCACACTATTTCTCCTCTATCATTTTTACGTGTATGTTAGATCTCCCAAACTCTATCCAGTGGTTCCTTTTCTCCTGCAGCAGGATTTTTCTAAAATATAGTTCAATAGGGAAATAATACATAATCAAATAAATGAATATATAAATAACAAAGCTGTTTAATTAATAACATGAAAATAAATATATTTCACCGTCGATTCCTCTACTTCTGCAAAAGACCTCGTACCACAAGCATGCTTAGTTATCTGCTTTTCCCTATTCTTTCTATTTCTCTCGCTTACAACCTGCATTAAGTCAATGATTAAGAAGCCATTATTCAAAGGGCAGTGAATCAAACATTGTTATTAAGTTACCTTAAATTCCGGACTTCCAAAATACTCTACTAAGTATTTCCAGTCCTCTAGCTCAACATCTATAGGTCGACGAGACAATATGTTTCCTTCAGCAGCATGGCGAGAGTAGCAAATGCTCAGTCGAGCTCTCCAAGCTCTGAAAAGCCGTCACATAGTATCGATAACAAAGGCTTGAATCCTATGCTCTCGCACGCCGCCAAGAACTTCAAATTTATCCTGAACATACATGTACCATTATATTTGATATTCTAACCACAAAAATAAATGATGCAACATGAAGTCGATACGATATTAAAAATAATTTTACCTTGACCTTCAACCACATTGCTTCTCCATGTTTTGAAACAATCTTTTGCCAATTTTCATCACGGAACGAGATAGTGCTCCTCATGATTAAATCACAATAGTTAACAATATCTCTAGCCCCAGTACCTACTGCTCTATCAATATTATCTGGATTTGTAATTGTAATTTTTTCGCCATACTTAGTTTTTATATCTACTGTTTTGGATTTATATTTCCCTCTTTCTCTCTTTTTACTGCTGGAAGAAACTATACAAAGAAAAAATAGTATATGTGATCAGCCTACATAGTTGCAGTCATGTTAAGAGTAAGAGTCAGTGTTGTGAAGAGCGTGAAGCGAGGAAAAGCGACAACCCACATTTCACAAGAAGCGAGAAGCAGAATTTTGGGCAGAAACTGCAATTTTTGAACAACTACATAACACATAAGAAAGTCAATAAGAACTATGAATACTTCATATAAAAATTGGGCAGAAATTTTCTGATAAAGAACTAAAGACAAAAATAATCGCCAACATTTCGGAGCTTTTTGGACGTTTAGAAAGAAAAAGAAAAAGAAGAAGAAGAATGAAAATCAAAATTGCAGAACTTCAACTTCTGAAGAAAGTTGCTGCTGAAGAAGAAGAAGAAGATTGAAAATCAAAATTTCGGACGCTTCTAACGCTTCTCGCTTTTTACAGAGAAGCGGTCGCTTTTCTTACCAGAGTCGCTTTTCTTACCTGAAGCGATGACCTTCATGCTTCGCCTCGCTTCTTTCTTAAAGCGAGAAAGCGATCATTTTTTTAATCACTAGTAAGAGTAATAACTGAATACTCAAAAACTAACCTGCACCATTTTCATTTTCAACTTCAGGAGAGGGAAGCACACTTCTGTCCAGATTCCTTGACGATACTATCTCTATAGAATGTCTCTGCCAAGGGTTACTTGATATTTGTCCTATCTCTAGAGGTTCTTGACTAGGATTATTTTATTCTCCTGTCTCAGGAGATGCTGCAGTATTCCCTATTGGTTGTACTTGTGGCTGAGACACATATGTTGCAGTATTCCTTATTGGTTGTACTTGTGGCTGAGACATCGCTCCAGCATTATCACGTCCTTGAAAATGGCCACGTCTACGACCAGTTCCACTTCGACCTTTACCTCGTCCTATCATTTGGACCCTCCTGCATGATGTAGAAAAACATCAGTAAGAATAGAAGTGCACTGCTGCCTAGATTTGTAACATCAGTAAAATAAGTAAGAATGATGCTTAGTGCACTACTGCCTAGATTTGTTGGGAGAGGTTTTTTATGGCAAGAATCAAGATATACTGAGGTGTTTAGATAGCCACACAAGAATAGACACAGATCAAAATGGAAATCACAAAAAATACTCAGCAAAATGAAATTTTTCAGATATGTGCACATTAGGTGCATAGCTCAATTGAGGAGGCATGTGTGATGATTACAACTTGGCAACTAACAATAACATTTCACAAAAGCTTAATATATAATCTAGTTATGAAATTAAAGTTACAAGCATAATGAATTAATTTCATTGTCATGTCAATAAGGAACAAAATACAGAGAACTTTTCAAAACAAAAAGTAGACATCTATATTATCTTGCTTCTAAGTCTTCAAGAGCATCATCAGTATCTTATCCATCATTATCATCAAGCCAATCTTCTTCGCTTTCTTCACCCTCGGATATATCTATACGATTGTCATTAATAAAATCCTCTTCTTCTTCATACTCAGATGTATCTATAAGATTGTCATTAATAAAATTCTCTTCTTCATCATGCACACTTGTTTGTTCTTGTTTGCTTGCATGATTGTTGTTAATACTTTGTGGTTCAACATCATTCCTATGTAAAGACAAACCAATATCATTTTCATGGTCATTGGTACGTAAAATGTTCAATTCAACTTCCTCTTATTGATAAGCTTCTTCATTCAGCAATGCTTCCTCGTCAACTTCTACACAATCATCATTTTCGGGCATATTGAAAAGGTTGCGAGGATTTGTCTTTACAACTACAAGCCAATCTTTATCAACCATGTCGTCCAAGTAAAAGACTTGTTCAGACTGAGATGCCAACACAAATGGCTCATTTGTGTTCAAGGCACAATGAGTATTCACACTTGTGAAGCCATATTTATCAATCTTATATCCCCTTCCCAAGCAAGCCACGTCCCACCAGTGACACTTGAATAAGTAAACTTTCCTATTTCCTATATAGGACAACTCGTAAATGTACTCTAATACACTGTAATACTCCTTATTAGAGTCTGAATCATCTCCTCTCACAAGGACTCCACTATTTTGTGTTTTTCTTCTCATCTCAAGATCTCTTGTATGGAATCTGAATCCATTCACCACAAATCTGGAATATCGATTCACCATTGGTGCACGACCAACAACTAAGTTTATGAGCTCCTCGTTTGCGCGCCCTTGTGCAGCTAGTACAAAGACCTACAAACCAAACAACATCGTTGTAACTAATAACACCGTCGTAATATTACACTAATATTAAAAATGTCACTTAACTAGACACCTACACGTGCACGAAACCAATCAACAAACCCACTGTTATGCAACCCATCACTTATTGAACCTTGTCTTTCAATCTCTCCTTGGTATTCCCTATATTTTGACAACGGAGTCAGTTAAGATAATGTTGTTGAAACATTTCAATGTGAGCTATCTTGAAATTAATATGATACTTACTCCATGAATGGCAGAACCTCTTCACAATTTTGAAGCACATACATACATGCTTGTTTGAACTCATCGTGAGAGAGCATGATGCCTTTTGAACCACCTTTTTTTCCCACTTTTTTTGAAGATAGACATCTCCCCATTTGATATAGATCCATCGTCATTCCTGGCCGGTTTGTTGAACTTGGTTGACATATTCTTTAAGTATCTGGAGCAAAATGTGAGACTTTCCTTTGCCAAATAACCTTCGGCAATTGAACCTTCTGGATGAGCATTATTGCAAACATATGACTTTTGTGTTCGCAAATACCTATATTGAAATAACTCATCAATATAATGTGCCATTAAAATTATGGCATTAAAATTATATAATAAATTACCTCTCAAAAGGGTACATCCATCGAAATTGAGCTGGTCCACCAAGCTTTGCCTCTCTTGCCAAGTGAATTGGCAGATGAACCATGACATCAAAGAATGTCGGCGGGAAAATAATTTCAAGTTTGAATAATGTGCATGCACATTCAGCCTCCAAGATGTCAAGACCTTCGATTGTCAAGGTCTTAGAACATAGATTCATGAAAAAAATTCCAAGCTCTATAATTGGTTCACACACTTCTTTAGGCAATAAACCACGTATTGCAACTGGGAGAATGTCTTGCAATAATACATGGTGATCATGACTTTTTAATCCATAGATCTTTTTCTCTAATATATTTACACACCTTGAAATATTTGATGAAAAAGCATCATGAACCTTCATATTAGCCAAAAAATGGCATAACTTCAACTTCTCCTCCGAGGACAATGCGTAACATGCTGCCGGTAACAATACATTATCCCCATCCTCAATTGGATGCAATTCTTGCCTAATACCAAGGTCCACCAAGTCATATCTACTTTTTAATGTGTCCTTTGTCTTTCCAACCATATTCATCAAAGTTGATATTATATTGTCAGATACATTTCTCTCTATGTGCATCACATCAAAGTTATGTCGTAACAAAAGAGTACTCCAATAAGGCAATTGAAAAAATATACTTTTCTTCCTCCAATTGTAAGCACTTTTTGGGGAAGTCACGTTTTCACTTTTTTCCCTTCCCAAAACTCACATTGCCCAAGCTCTGTAATTGTATAAGTGCTTCATCACCTGTTAAAGGAATAGGTGCAACCCTCTTTTCTACCTTTCCATCAAATTTTCTCCTATTTCGGCGCCATGGATGCTTTATTGGAAGGAAGCAACGATGACTCATATAACACAACTTAATACGTAAAGAAACCGATTGTGTGTATTTATGACAACAAGGACATGCAAGCTCGCCTTTTGTTGACCATCCTAAAAGGTTTCCATATGCAGGAAAGTCATTAATCGTCCACATTACAGCTGCACGCATCATAAAATTAGATTTTGAGTAGGAATCATAAGTTTCGATTCCATCCCATAATTCTTTCAACTCTTTAATAATTGGTTGCAAGTATACATCTATATCATTTCCTGGACACTTAGGGCCTGGAATAAGAAGTGTCATCATAAAATACGGATCCTTCATGCAATACCATGGCGGCAGATTATATGTTGCTAGTATGACTGGCCAAATACTATGATTGGCACTCATGTTTCCAAAAGGTTGGAACCCGTCACTTGCTAAACCTAATAGAACATTTCTTAATTCAGCTGAAAAGGTGGGATGTCGCTCATCAAAGGATTTCCATGCTATGGAGTCAGACGGATGTCGCAAAACACCATCATCAACGTTTTTATCCTTGTGCCACCTCATCTTTTTTGCCGTCTCTCTTGCCATGTACAATATCTGAAGCCTTGGTTTGATTGGAAAGTGTCGCAATACTTTACAAGCTACTTTCTTGCCTTTGTGTTCTTCTGACTTCCATCTAGACTTACCGCACTTAGGACATAATTGGGCATTGTCATAATCGCGCCAATATAAAATACAATCATTCTCACATGCATCTATTTTGGTGTAACCCAAGCCTAGGTCACGAAGAACTTTCTTCGCTTCATAGAAAGAACTGGGCACAAATGAACCCTCCGGAAGAACTTCTTTAAAGAAACTCAACAGTTCATCCATTGATTTGTTGCTCCAATGATTAAGGCACTTCAAGTGAAGTAGTTTGACAACAAAAGATAACTTTGAGACTTTACTACAACCAGGATAAAGTTCTGTCTGAGCATCTTCTAACAATTTGTAGAACTTTGCTGCATGTAAATTTGGCTCTTCATTGTCCATAGAAGTATTATTATTATTATCCTCTACATACGTATGTCCCCGCACGTCGTGAATCATTTCTGAAATATTATCCTCTTCAATGTTATCATCTTCTACTTCATTATTGAGTGTTACGTTAGAATTTTCAACTCTAACTAACACTTCTCCATGCAAGTCCCACACTTTGTAAGAATCCCAGAAACCCTTTTTCAATAAGTCTCTTCTTACATCGGGCATTAGCTTGAATGCAATATTTATACACCCTTTACAAGGACATCGAATCATAGTGCTTCCCCTTGGTTGACTGAATGCCCAACTAAGAAAGCCATCTACTTCATCTCTGTACCTTTGGTCACCTCTATTTCTAATATTCAACCAACTTTTATCCATTCCTATTTTTAGAATAATGGAAAGGTTAGTCCGTCATTATATTCCAGATTATAGTACAACCAAGATTTTAATTAGTTTATATATCACATTAGGAAGCTAATAGTTTAACAACATATTACTAAACTCTAAATCTCATCCTGAAGCTTTAGCCTTTAGAATTTAGATTACTTAGACAACAACCCCTAACAATCACTTGCGATATTATCCAATAACAAGATAAATATCTTATATTTTGGCACTAGAAAGAAATTCATAAGAATTGGACCTAACCTTGTCGACATCATTTGTATTTCAAGTGAGAATGAAGTTGTGAGTTTGGCTTAATACTTAAGAGCAAATCCAGGAAAACATAATCTAAGGGCAAGGTTGCTTCAGTGTCAAAAAGATACCAAACATAGTGCACAAAACTCTATTTGAAGGAAGACACATCAATATATAAGCAATTTTAGAAAGTGGGGCTGATTTGGGGGAACACTTGCATTGTAGTTATGAATTCGTTACTGGCTTTTAGTTAAGAAATTTTCTTTTAGAACATTTAAGAAAAAACTCCATAATAATGAGGAAGAGTTAAAGGGAACTTCACACTTGAGGCTCTGGAACTAGAATAGACATCCAGAAAAATTTAACAACAATACAAAATAAAAAAAACAGTTTTGAGACTTTACTAAGAAATATCGACGCTAAATCCAACTTTGAACGTACTCTAAATGAAAAGAATAGAGGGGTATCAAATCAATTCTGAGAAAATAATGTTGATTTCTTATAAGTTGAGAAAGGGAAAAATTTTGAAAACTGTTTTAACAAATTTTTCAGAAAGTCAAAAGATTTGAGGGGAAACGCAAATAAGCAATCAAAACTAGAACCACACTATAATTGGGGCAAATAAATTAATGTCCTACTGCAGTTCACAAGTAATAAAAGCAAAAGGTGACAATTTCAGAGCAGTTTTCTCTTAGACTTGAAAAATGTACAATAACTAAAAACTAGAGTATGACAACAGAGAGATCTATAGTCTCAGTTTCTGTTCATGTTGAAACACACTGCTAGATCATCAAATAAAAAAACTTTAATGAAACTACAACTTTAGTTCATAATTTTTATTCGAATAAAGAAGACAAAAATGTAACTATTTTTTATCGAAAGGAAGCCTCATCTCATTAAGCTTCCATTTTTTTGGTTCACAATCATAGCACAAAGCAGCAGATAAGTTTTGAAGTTTTACTTTACATTGGTCTCATAGACAGGTAGTTGCAAGAAAATGCAGTGAATGAAAATAAAAAAATTATGCTGAAGGGAATTCATTAAAAGTGTGATTAGAGTGAAAATATAGAACAAAAAGTAATCAAAGATGTATAGCATCATTATTATCATATAGTAAGGAATAAGTGAGTACCATGGCTATGTGCAACTTGTCATTGTTATTCACGTTCAGTATTTGATCAACAACAAATTCAAAGTATCAATTTTGAACAACTAACAAATTTATCATCATATTCAAATCTTTAAAGTAATTATAAAACCCCATCCACAGGCAGAGACAGAGATATAATTAACACAAAGGCCAGAAAGGTTACCAAAAGAATTAGAATCCAGCAACAATCATTCAAGAGGAATACCAACATGCAATAGGTCTCTCAAGAAGAAGCTTTTAACTTACCCAAAAAAGAAATAGGTGAGAGTTCTGTCAAGACTGAAAATCACCAAATAGGCTTCAAATGGGTCTTTCTGTATGACTTTTTGGTATTCCTGTAGATTATCAAATGGTTCAGAGAAATTCTAGATAAAATCTGAGAATACAAATGTAAAATCACTGAAATAATGATAATCCCTAACTGCATGTTGAAGATTTTACCTTATAGAATAAAGAATCCTTATAAAAAAACCCAAACATAAATTTATATAAAATTAATATGGGTTTTCAGTTAAACATATGCACAAAACACAGAAAAGTCGCTGAGATTAGGGAAAGCTCAACAACTATATGAGAGAAATTGGATGTGCGATTTTCCTCCACAAAACTCGATTATGCCACAAAACTCAATCATTTTTTTCGTTAAAAGAAAAAGGGGAAAATTAGGGATTTGACCACAAACCTGATAATTGAGTTTCTTATCTTGATATGAGAGATTTGGAGTAGATAATCCCTTGCTATTTTCTTTTAGCAGAGAAGGGATTTTAGAGAGGGCGGAGAGATTTGAGAGAGAGAGAAAACGTACTATGTGCTCTATACTGGTTTTGAGAGTTTTATTTAATTTGTTTTGTTATTTTAAATTAAAATATAAGAGGGTCTAGTAGCGACCCAGTCGCTCCAATAGGGATTTAACGGCGACAATTTAAAGTCATCACAAATAATATGGAGCCAAAATTTTAGTTTTAGCGGGTACTGAAAATTTCAGCCACATTAGAGGCGACCTCAGAAAAGTCGCTGCTAAATAATTACGTTTAGTAGCGACTTATAATGTCGCCGCTAAAGGTATAACTTTTGTAGCAACATTTAGGGTCGCCGCTATATGTTGCAACTAAAAATCCAATTTTTGTAGTGGAAGGACCCTTGCGTTCCCGATGAAGGATTTGGGGTACTGTGTGCTGGGGGCCTTTTGCCCTTCGCTTTCGCGTGAGTAGGACCGTGTTCGCGGAGGCCTGGGTCCTCTAGCCTTCGCATTCGCGTGACTTGGACCGCGTTTGCGTAGAGGAGGCTGAGTTATGTGGCTGTTGATCATTCTTCGCGTTCGCGAAGAAGCCCTCGCATTTGCGTAGGGTAGGCCAAGCGAGACTCTGCATTCGTGAAGCTCCTGTCGCGTTCACGATTGGGTAATTTTCCTGGGCCTGGGCCGTTTGCCTTCGCGGTCGCGAGGCCTCTTCCGTGATCATGAAGCAGGCAGACCTGGGCAGAAACATTTTAAAGACGGGACTTAAGCCTTTTTCCTCTCATTTTTCACACACTTGGGCTATTTTGGAGCTTCAAAAAGAGGGATTTCAACCTAGCTATTGAGGGTAAGTAATTTCTACCTAATGTGAGTTTAATACATAGATTATGGGTAGATTTTAACATGAAAATTTGTGAAATTTATGGGTTAGATGGAGAACCTAGGTTTTTGATGAAGATGAGATTTAACAACGAAATTTGTTATGGAATCTAGTGAAAATCATGTATTTGAGTTCGTGAAGTTATGGGTAACAACTTCCTTCAAAAATTTCCAGAATTCGGGCACGTGGGCCCGGTGGTGAATTTTAGGAATCCTACATTTAGGGTTGGGTAATCCCTTTAATAGTTGGAATATGAACTTTTGAATATGTATTGACTTATTATTAAATCATTTGACTAGTTTTGGATTGTTTGGCACTGAATTGAGGGTTTGAGCACAATCTTGGACCGAAAAGTAGGCTTTGAGACAAGGTAAGTCTCTTTTCTAACCTTGTAAGAAGGAATTAACCCCATATGTGAACTTAATTAATATGTGCTTCTATTTGTGGGGGCTAAATACGTACGAGGTGACGAGAGTCCGTATGTAGCTACTATTCATGCTTATGTCCGGGTAGTTTTAGGTTTACACCATACTTTGCTGACACCCTTTTTTGATTATGCTTATTAATTGTCTTGAATAGAGTTGAGGTTGAGGATTTCAAGATTTAAAAAGTTTCTGGTTGAATTTCTTATTTTTGAAAAGGATTTAGGGATATTATGATAACATGAGAAATCTATGTTCAACCACGTCGCAAGTTCATTCTACGAGCGGAGTAAATTTTCACTACTCTCATGGGAGCGAGCCGTTTGCCCCGGCAGGTTAATAGATGCATCTATGGTTCATGTCGTTCGACCTTCGACAGTGCACATAGTACATGTATATGTATATTTGGATCTGGTCGTACATCCTCGACATAATTCGTGCGTAATAATACTGGAAGCCCCATTATATTTTATATTATTTTATTGGCTTGAGAGGTTACATGGTTAAATGAGGGAAATGATTTGGTTCTTACTAACGGTGAAAGGATTGTATATTTATTTCTTTATCTGAGTTCTATTGTCATTTATATATATCATGTTTAATTAGGATTTTGGCCCTAGTAAGTGTTGAAGTCGACCTCTCGTCACTACTTCTTCGAGGTTAGACTAGATACTTACTAAGTACATATTATTTATATACTCACGCTACACTTCTGCACTTATATGCAGGATCTGAGGCAGGTGCATCTGGATATCTGTCTGGTGCACACACTTGATTACTACTTCGAGACTTCACGGTGAGCTGCCTTCCGAGCCATTTTGCAGCAGCCGTTTCTGTCTTTATGGACTAGTGCCATACAAGGTACCATATAACCGTGATAGTAAGGTGTATAAAATGTATTAAAAGTAAGTAGTATTTTAAGTAATTTGAGATAATTCTTAATTATGTGGGTAATTGGTTAATTATTGGATTAGTGGGGGATTAATTGTATATGGTAAAAATCAGTGGTCTGATTTTATGATCATTAAGGCACCTCGAAAAGACCACCCCCAGAAGGCTCGAAGCTCAGTCCGAGGTTTCGACCCCGTGTGTCCTCGGTGATCGACCACGAGGCAGTATAAATGATGATCCGCCTTGAGGCAATGTGAAATCAGCGACTACGGTGGATCGACCTGAGGTTCTTAAGGCACGTGACTAGAGATGACAAAGTCTAGTAGGCCCATATCTTTGTAATAAATGCATTTGTACTATGTTGAGATTCTCCCTCATATATAAAGGGGATCCTTGTCATTTTGTAAGGGCATCTGATACTCTCAATATTGAATATACAAGAACATTCTCTCCACTTCCTAACTTAACATATTCTCTTGGTCTCATTATTTACATTTATTATGTTCTATTTATTGTTCTTCATTTATTGCTCATTATTGGTCATAAAGAGCCGCCATCAAATCTATCATAATTGTTAATCCTCTATCGATGCCTTTAGCAAAGCATCCCACTCGACCTCGAAGCCCCGTACACATAAGCTTGAGGCTCCGATTTCCATCTATTCGGTTTGATTACTATACTATCCTCAAGCTATTATCTCGTTGTTTCTAATCTTTCACTTAGCATCTATTGCCTAACAACTAGCATAAAAATAGATCACATATTTTCAGAACCACAAAATCAAATCTAACTGTTATTACCATTTTCAAGGTAAATAGTTTGGCACCCACCGTGGGGCTAAACATAATAGTGATTATTTTCTTGCTGGTTCACTCCATAACGCAAGTTACCTTTCACACTTTTTCTTGTCCAAGATCTTTGATTTCAGGTCAAAATGTCTAACTCAGTAAGCACGCATGAAAATAACAATCTTGAGGACCATGGAGAAAATGATGTGGCTGCTCCAGGTGTTGGTGTACTACCACGAAACCCTGAGGATGCACCAGAACCGATTCCCGTGGACGTGGTTTCGCGCAATGTTCAACACGTCGAAATAAGCTCCTACACCAACAGGAGCATACACCAAGGAGATCAACAAGAAACTCAAAAAACCCTGGCTCCGGAAGAACAAGGGGCTAGCCTTCACGTTATTTTTGAAATGTTACAGGCACAACAGTTGGCAATTTCTCAGCTACAAAGCCACCAGAAAACTCCCAGTACGGTAGCACCGGAAACGGCTCCCCCCAAGCTGAGCAGGCACCAAAAAGATCAAGCAACAACGAGTTTGCAGCCGACCCCACTATCGTAAAGATGCTTGAGGACCTCACAAAGAGGATCAAGTCAGGCGAGAATAAGATAGAAGCCAATGACAAGAAGGTGGAAACCTACAATTCTAGGGTCGATCAAATTTCGGGAGCACCCGCGATCTTGAAGAGTGTGGATTCGAAGAAGTTCGTACAGAAGTCGTTCCCATAGGAAGCGGCTCCAAAACCCATTCCAAAGAAGTTTAGAAAGCCCGACCCTCCGAAGTAAAACAGAACCTCGGACCCCAACGAGCATGTCACTGCTTACACTTGTGCAGTGAAGGGAAATGACCTAAAGGACGACGAGATCGAGTCTGTCCTACTAAAAAAGTTCGGAGAGACATTTTTGAAAGGGGCAATGATGTGGTATCACAACCTGGCCTCAAACTCGATAAATTCATTCGCCATGTTAGCAAATTCCTTAATAAAGGCACATGCTGGTGCCATCAAGGTAGCTACAAGGAAATCCGACGTCTTCAAAATCAGGCAAAGGGAGAATAAGATGCTGCAAAAATTCGTATCTCGCTTTCAAATGGAACGAATGGAATTGCCACTAGTCTCCGATGACTGGGCAGTGCAGGCCTTCACTCAAGGCTTGAACGAGTGAAGCTCGATGGCTTCGAAGCAGCTGAAGCAGAACTTGGTCGAATATCCCACCATGACTTGGTCGGACATTCACAACCGATACCAATCAAAAATCAGGGTCGAAGATGACCAACTAAGAGTCCCCTCGGGCTCGATATATCCTAGTAAGCTTCCAGCAAAGGAGCCAAAACCAAACAAAGAAAGATACCAACCATACACTAAGGATATAAGGAATGCCCCGAAGGATGGATCAAGGCCAGAATCCTCGGGGACTTGTTAGCAGAACGGGATTCGATACGCACACAGGACCGACAGAGGCACCCCACTTGTCAGAATACAACTTCAACATCGACATTTCGGACATCGTATTCCCCATCAGTAAAATCAGAGACATCAGGTGGCCAAGGCCTATGCAATCAGGCCCTTCACAAAGGAACCATAACTTACTGTGTGAATTTCATAACACACACGACCGAGGATTGCCAATAACTCTGGGAAGAGGTAGCCCGACTGCTCAGCAAAGATCACCTCCGAGAATTCCTCAACGACCGAGCCAAAAATCAGTTCCGGGAAAGAGAGGCAACCAAGAAGAATGAAACAGATGAGCCACAACACGTCATCCATACGATCTTAGGAGGCATCGATGCTCCACAAGAACCCATGGTCAAAAGAACAAAAATATCCATCACCAAGGAAAATCAAACTCGAGGTTACATACCCAAGGACGCTCTCACATTCAGTGATGAGGACATCGAGACCTTTTCTCAGCCTCACAACGACGCACTGGTAAACTCTTTTCTTGTAAATACATTTCAAATTAAACGTTTACTTGTGGATCCAGGTAGCTCAGCCAACATTATCAGGTCGAGGGTTGTGGAGCAACTCGGACTGCTTGACCAGATCGTGCCCGCCTCTTGAGTCCTCAACGGGTTCAACATGGCAAGCGAAACAACAAAAGGGGAAATCACCCTCCCGGTCA